CCTGCTGAAGTGAGGTGCCATTTGGAGTGAATGTGTTAACAGATGAGCAGCTTCTGAAGCTTCGAAGGTGAATAGAAAGTCCAGGATAAAGATATTCTGAGGTGGTATTGAGGAGTTATTAAACTTTAGTCCTGTTGCCTTGTCTTTAACTCTGTCTTCACTGCCGGATAGAAGAGTGAGAACCTACTGAGAACAGCCTGAGGTTGCTTCTAGTCCTTATCCAGGAAAGCAAACCAAGTTCACAGGATTCATTAATCTGGGTGTAAAAGAGTGTTTTGAGAGGACTTCGGCCTGAAGAGTTGGAGTTAAGGCATGCAACTCAGATTGACTTGTAATTTAGCATACTGATATTGGTAACTTTATGTACTGCTATATCAGTTCTATATTCATCCTAGAGCAGTGAGATAGAACACTGCTAGTGCCATTAGTGTTTAATTTATAATTTTGCTGTGTCTACTCATATGTCTAAAGTCACCTACATGCACATTGTCCTTGCAGAAACAAACATCTCTTAGCACTTCATGTATGTTATCATTGCACATTTTTCCCTTCATTACTCTCCTCCACTTTTTTCTTTCTTACCTTTTTACTTTTCTTCAACTGTCAGTGGAATTATTGTCTTCCTGTCTCCATATTCAGGTAGTGTCAGTGGCTGAGTATCACCGCAGGATCGATGCTCTAAATAGCGAAGAACTGCGCACACTCTGCAGACGTCTCCAGGTGCCCTCTTCAGTAGTCTAAACCCCATCTCCAGATACTAAAACATCTTTCTTTGTAGTGTCTTCGATTAGGGCAAGTCCCACACTCAGTGGGTTTGTCTTGTCTACAGCACTACAAGGATCTAGCAGAAAATTCCTTTGTTTTGTATTTAATTGTGCGATGCTGTGACAGAATCAGTAATTTTATGATGGAATTATTACTTCCAACTTTTTCAAACAGGAATTTTCTGTCAGAATTTTGAACATCTGTTCTCGGTACTGCTTGACTTGGAGTGATGTGTTTTAACTTCCACTTTAGACTGGTGTGTTGTGTTAGCTAGAAGCTTTCCTAAAAAGAATGCAAACCAGGTGAAGAATCCAAAACCTTGTTGCACGAGTGTTTAATTTTGTAATAGGAATCTTTCATCAAGAATCTTGTGGTACTTGGCAAGTATGAAGCTTCACAGCTTCTGTGGAACAGGTAAGTATCTTTCTCGTTATGCCAGCAGGTAAATGAGGCTGTTTGACACGCAAAGGTCATACACATGGAGCTGGTAATGGAACTATCTGTTCTAAAAACAGTACTTTGAAAAAAGTACTTCGGTTTGGATTTTTGGAGGTTTACTGATACAGACTTAAACTGCTATTTGCATTCTCTTTAGGTGTTTCTTAGTTCTCTGACAGTTATAAAATTGGTAGCTGCTGTGTACTTTATACTTAACTTACTGATGGAAAGCAGAGCTTAGAACTCCTTAGAAGCATAAAGTATTTCGTTTTCCTGCAGTAATTGGCTGCTGAAATGGTAAAAAGTTTCAGTTCTGTTTTTTCACTTTGATCTTGGCTTTTTTTCACCAATTCTGTGGTTACAAATAAGAAAACATTTTCTTAGCTCTTTTATTTCTGTTAATTTAATAATCAGTAATGTTTTAAAATGTTTTGTAAGTAGGACAGTTACATAAATCAATAATGAGCATGAACCCGAAAGCTGCACTCCTACTTCTATGGGAGAGTCGGAAATTTTGCATAAAAAATTTTCATTCCCACTTGAGAACAAAATAATTCTGTTTCTGGCGAGTGGTGGTGGAGAATCCTTGTATTAATATCCTGGAAGTGCAAGAGCTCTTTCCAGATACCTTTCATCTGGAATGCCCAAACTCGAGGTTAAGGCTGACCTGAAAAATCTGATGTGATGGGCTAGAGCCTATAAACACTGTCTGAGGCCATTTAAGTGTTTGTGGTGTAGCGTGCTTGGCAGTTAACAACCTCGGAAGCCCCTGGAATCTGACTGCTGGTCAGTCTGCTCTGTCAAAGCTTAGTGGGAATTAAATTTGCAGGTTTCAAAACTACGTTGTGTTCTGTCAAACAGATAACTTTAAACAAGCACATGTCTTTGCTTCTACAAAAGAAGTGTTCTTCCTAGAAGAAAGTTGCTTTACTGTAGTAATCTAAAAAGGCAAAAAAATCCAGTCAATGAAAACAAACAAAAAAAAACCCAAAACCCACAACCCCACCACCACCACTTCAAACCAAATTATTCATGTTTTGCATGGTGCACTTCAATCAGAATTAAAAAATAATAAAGGGAATAAGCTTTCTGCTCTACACTTGAGCAATTCTGAACTTTTATGGAGTTAAAGCAATCGTGTATGATGGATGAAAGGCATTTAATGTGAAAAAGAGTTGGATTACCAAATAACATGTTTTATAGATAGCACTGTAATGCAGTCTGTAAGTCATCTTTTTGTAGCTGTATGGATAAATGCATATACTTTTTGTTGTGGTTGTGATATGGAAATTAATGCATAGTTTACATTGGAAATGCTTCTTACCTTCCATTGAAAAAAGACTTGAGCTTTTGCTTGCTAGATACTAGCTTTCTTTAAGCAGGCTTTTTCTTGAGTTAAGAATTAATATTGTAATTAAGTTATTGTATGAATCTGCTTTGATCTTTTATAAACATATTTTTAAGTAACAGGAGTTGGTGATGATAACTTTTTTCGTAGTTCTTGAGGGAGAGGAAAAATGTCATTTTTTTTCAGCTCTGGGGCTGTATTCGTTTAAATGTCTTACCTGTATTGCAGAGTTTTCTTTGGTCTGGCTTTTTCTTTTGTTAACTAAGAAAGCTCTCTTCAAAAGCTTGGCAAATTTTATCGTGGTGTTATGTGAAATACCGTAGTTACCCAGTACATTTAGAGTATGAGGTATGTAGCAAACACTGGTTATTATTCTGGATTTGGCAGATGGTTTTGGCAGGTATTTTCTTGAAATTCTCAGGATTCAGGCTTTAAGCAATTTAGACAGTCTGACTTTCACTGAAACTTAGTTTAGCTGATAAATTATTCAGATGTACTCATTCTTGTTTAGACTTTTTTCTTTAGCAAATATCTCAACACGTTAATAAGTCTTGCTGCAGTGGCGTAGGTTACTAACTTCCTTCACTTTGTCCTACTCCTCTGTCAGATTTCACTGTCCCCACAGCAAGTTTTAACTATCCCTGCAGCAAGGTTTATAGGAGGAGACCTGTTTGGGTCTCAGCTAGTCTAGTTCTCAATGCATGGCACTTTGGCGTGAAAGTGCCAGTGAGTGTGGACTGGGGTGAGAAGCTGCTGTGAACTATGGTAGCTGATGAGTTCTGCGGCCTTCTGCTGCCTCCACTAAATTATAATCTACAACAACTCAATAGGGTAGATGTATGGGGCAGTAAGTTTAAACTCCTGAAGGATCTTCATGCATAGTGGATCTTTGCCAGACCCCAAAGCTGTAAGTATTAAGGCTGCTTTCCCCTCCCCCTCCACTTTGTTCTTCTTTGATTCCTGTAAGTATTCCACCGGATCCGCTTCTGGAGCAGCAATATTCCTAGGGCTCCATTCAGATGCTACTCAAAATACTTCACTGCAGTCTTTCCTCGTGTCTGCTGTGTGTCTGAAAACTTTCACAAGTACTCTGAAAGAGTATTGATGCAGAAATGATTGAGAGATGTCTGTGTTGAAGTTTCAGTTCCATTTCTGTCTGGGTTTTTGAATTACATTTAATGCAAGTGCTATGTTAGTATTAAAATGCAACCACTGTCTAAGCTGACCTCTGAAAAGCATTTGAAGCCCTTCAGCTGTGTATGAGGACTCATTCTGGGTTTTTTTAGCATAAAACCATAGCTTTCTTCTGAGTAGGTGTCTGTGTAATGTATTATTAGTACATAGTTGAGTGACAGCTTGCTTTTGGAAGCAGTGGAAATCTTGGTCAGATCAAATCACATGGATTTCTTAATTTTTGAAGGAGTTCCGTAGTGACAAAACAATAACTGCCTGATTTTATAC